ACAAATGGGTTTGCGAATGGGGTGTCTGGGGTCGGAACCATTATGTGTGACCAGCCGTGTGCACATTTTTTTGGGAGTTTTACGGTTTTGGTACCATGTGTGACCGTGCCCTGACTGTGTCTGTTGTGTGTCTGTGTGTGTGTTTATGTGTCTTTGTGTGTTGTGTGTTGTGTCTGTGTGTGTGTGTGTCTGTTGTGTTTGTGTGTGTGTGTGTGTGTGTGTTTATGTGTGTTTGTGTGTGTTGTGTGTCTGTGTGTGTGTTTATGTGTTTGTGTGTGTTGTTTCTGTCCGTGTCTGTGCCAGACTGTGCGTATGTGCGAGTCTTTTTTTCCTTTCTTTTTTGTTTTTTATGGTTTTGATTTTGTCAAAAATACACAAAGTTTAAAAAAAAACAAAAAAAAAACATGTTGTTGTGCATCTTTGAAAGATCTACAACCCTTTATTTTTTATTTGTTTTTTTGTTTATTTTTCATCCCTTAAAAAATCTCTGTGAAACCCAAGAAAAAAAACACTCGTTCCATTTTTTGTTTTTGTTTTTTTCATTGTGTTTATGTTTTTTTTTTTTTTTTTTAATATAGTCAAACATCAAAAAAAAAAACTAAGAATACGGGGTTGTAGTCCTCGAAGAGACCTACAACCCCATATTTTGTTTTTGGTTTTCGGATAACTTTTAGCCCAGGAAAAAAATCATCCCGAACCCCGTTAATTTGCGTCAAACTCGCGTTTGAACGGGAGTTTAACAGGAATTCAACGCGCGTTGAATTTTTCAACGCGGAACCCGCGTTGAATTCAAAATCGGACACACAGTCGACGGGGGTTCGGTTGCAGCGGTGCGCTCGGGGAGAGTCAGCGAGGGTTATCTCGACAGGGCGGTCGGCATGGTGAGGGCACAGCGCCGTCAGCATGAGCCTGCCCCAGACCATATGCAAGACACATTCAGGGCCCGCTCCCCTGTGTATTGGTACTGAGGGGTGTGCGAGGGAGTTGGGGGAAGGGGGACCCTGCGGCGGGCAGCGCTTGACGGGGGTTGGGTTGCAGCGGTCCGCTCGGGGAGAGTCAGCGAGGGTTGTCTCGACAGGGCGGTCGGCATGGGGAGGGCACAGCGCCGCCAGCATGAGCCTGCCCCAGACCATGTGCAGGACACATTCAGGGCCCGCTCCCTTGTGTATTGGTACCTGGTTGTCGGCCAGAAGGTCGACAACAAGGGATTCATGATGCTCCGTTGCACGTTTTGCAGCAAAATTTCCAAGGGACCCTGTTTCAGGCCACAAGGCACTTCACACAAAAGAACTACTGCAAGGACGTCAGCGACGAGGCGTTGTACGAGATCGCGCGACGGACTCAACAGAAGTTCGAGGCCGATCAGATGGAGAGGGTTGCCAGGTATACAGCGGAGCGCGGACTCGATGTGCCCGACACGGGTGGTGCAAGGGGAGGAGAGGCGGGGCGGCGTCCGGTGGAAGGAGGGGTCGGGGGAGATGGTGGGCATGGTGCGCCAGACCACCCGTTGGGGGGTGGAGGCGGTGACACGGAGGAGGGCGTGATCCACGTCAATCGCGAGGCGCGTTGCCCGGGCGAGGAGAGAGTCCCGGCACACGAGGACGTGCCAAAATTTTATCCARGCACTGGGGAGAGGATGGARGACTGGAGGAGCCGAGCAGGCAAGGGACCTGCAACGGAGGTGCCTTCCAAGAGGAAGGAAGGAGGAAGTGATCTGGTTGACACCCCAGCAGGAAAGAGGCTTTGGCAGCAGAAGGTGACTGAGGTCTACGGTGGCGAGTGGGTTGYTCGCCACAAGAAGGCCTTCCTTCGCTGGCTCTATTCCAGCGGGGTCTCCTTTAATGCCTTCCGCAACCAGGCTTGGAAGGCATATCAACAGGTGCTTCTTAAGCAGCCTAGCAGTTCCCAGCGCGTTGTGCTCCCCAACCACAGCGAGGTTGCGAGTATGAGGGCAGTGGAGACACACTGTGTGGAGCTGGCGGAGGAGTTGGAGGAGGTGAGGCAGCCATTTTGGGTGACTGGTGCCACCCTCCTCTCCGATCGGAGGAAATCACGAGACGGGAGACCGATCGTGAATTTCCTTGTCGTTGGTTCGCGAGGGGTCGTCGTGTACATGACGATCAATCGAGAGGGCGAGCCGGACAATGAAGTGCACGTCCTTCGGAGATGGGTTACCATCTTTCACAAGTTCAGCTTCGGTGGCCCACAGTGGGTCAATGCGATATGCACTGACTCCACTTCTGCGTACGTGGGGGCTGCAAGGGCATTGGCCTCGCCGACCATGCCTCCTGCACGGAAGAGGATTACTTGGCTCCCATGCTCCATCCATGTTTGCAACAAATTGATGTCAGACATGGGGACGAGTTGCGACGCGTTTGTGGACGCGAYCACACGCGCTCGTGTGCTRRTTGTTTTTTTCGAAACCCACCAGGCCGCCYTTCATTTTTTTAGGACGCGCAGCCCCAACAAGGGGCTTATTCTTTCTTGCGAGACGCGATTCGCGTCTGTTTATTCCATGCTAGAGAGGCTGTTGGCCCTGCAGGACACTTTGCAGGACATGATGCGAGGGGTTGACGCGCGGGCTTTTGCTTYCATCCCGTGGTCCGCCGATKWGTGTGTCATGGCRCGTTAGGTGCGCCGACAGATCAGATGGGATCCATGGTGGCAAAGAGTGGCCACCATCGTCCATATCATGCAGCCCGTCATGGAGTTGCTTAGGCGGATGGATCGTGGAGGACAGTATATGTCCCTCATGATCGAGTGGACACAAGATCTTGTCCGCCGTGTCACGAACGCATGCGCTCCATTGGGGAAGTCGTTCGCTGACCGGATCATCAGGCGTGTGGAGGCTCGCACAGAGCACATGCTTGAGCCGGCTCACTGTGCATGGTTCTTACAGAACCCCCACAGGCGACACATTCGCTATGTTTCGGGCGAGGTTCATCGGTACCATACTTGGCTTGTGGGGCAAGCCAAGAGGTACATTCTGACGCAGACGGGTTTCGAGTTGGAGGGTGCGGAGTACATCCTTGCATGTCGGTAGTTTGAGGACTTCCACATTCAGCAGGGTAGGTTCGGGGATTGGGGCGGCCCGGAGGGGCATGCTCGTGGGCGCGCGTGCAGCGACGACGACGAGACGATTGAGTGTGTGTCTTGGTGGTCTCAGTTCGGGGCGGGCGCGCCAGAGTTGCAGCGGTGCGCTCTTTGGGTGATGCACATGTGGTCTTGCGCCTCTCCAGCAGAGAGGAACTGGGCAGTCCACGAGGGCATTCACACGAAGAAGCGCAACCAGTTGGCCTTCGAGAAGGTCGTTCAACTCGTTGAGATCACCGCAAATGTGCGGTTGACGAAGTATCGGCGGGTTGGATGCGGTTAAGTGCTGCCATGGCAGCGGGACGAGGGCATGCTGGATTGCCAGGCAGGACTCGAGGTGGAGCTTGTGTGCATGGGCATGGGTAGGGGGAGGACAAGGGAGGAGATTGCCCGTCAGGGTGCGCTTATTACCCGGGATCAGTGTATCTTTTTAATGGAGAACGGACGGAGTTAAACGCCCGAACACCCGTTTAACGGGCCCCAGGACCCCCCTTGAATTACGTTAAACTCAAAAACGGGGGCGTCGCGTCGAATTCCAAAAAACGGAATTCGCGCGTTGGGCCTCGGATACGTGTGCCTACGTGCCCGAACACTCAAACCGGGAAAAAAAAAAAAAAAAATCACCCCCAGTTATCACCCCTCCCCTAAGGGCCCAAAAAACCCCTATCTGACCTCAAACACACCCTCGGACCCCATCCCCCCAATTAGCCCCACCCCCAATACCCCTCACCCCCAGCCCCCACTACCCGGCGACCCTCCTGAATATGGCGAAGTACAGTGCGAGTAGGGGAGAAGCGGAATGTTGGCCTCATCGGTCAACGACCCTTCTTCCCCTTCCTGCTCTGTCTCCTCGAACCCCCTCCACTGCCGGATGTCGACCTCTTTTCCCTCGTGCGGATGAAGAAGTCCGCGCAGCGGAGCGTGTAGATGCACGTGTCGGTGGGGGTCCTGGGGGAGGTGGGGGCTCATCGTAGTCGTCGTCGTCGTCACCATCGGAACCGCTCCTGGTCTCCTCCTCGCCCTCATAGTCCTCGTCCTGCTCCCGCACAACCGCATCCGTATCAGGATCATCCTCCTCGATGGTGACAGGGTCTCCTCCCTTCCTCAACACAAGAACCCTCGCACTAGCCTCTGCAACCGTCTGCTCACGGCGGGATCCATGAGGCATCCCCAACCCCTCCGCCCCCGAACTCTCTCCAAGTGTAGCGCCTCCCGCTGCAGGCACGGGGCGTGGACGAGGAGGCACTCCATGCTTTCGTGGAGTCTGCTCCTGCACGACACGCGTCGCTGCTCTCAGAGCGTACGCCAAGCTCTCGCTGGACACTCCTCTACCAACACCTCGCTGAGGCTCACAACCCGATGCTAGTACCTCCCTCGCCGCGGTCGTCCTTGCGCCGCGGGGTCCCAAGCCCGGCTGAAGGCGTGCACTGTGCTCCGTGACACGGCGGGTGGAATCCAAATTTATGTTTGTCCTCCCGAATAACGTCGTGTCACTGTCACACATGTCCCGCGGAACTGCTGTCGTGTCACGAATCCTACATCTCCCAAGCGTGTGCGGGGATCGAAAGCCTCTGCCTGTGGGCGACGATGATGGATCACCTACAGGTGGTCTAGGAGGAGGGGGTGGCATGTCTCCTGTGCGTGGCGCTGTCACCTGGATGCCACCCGAAACCCTTGGAACATGTCCCACGGCACGTCCCCCGGTGGAGGTAGACCCAAACCACACGGGCGACGCAGGACCCCATGGAACCGAAGGGATCAATTGAAAAATTCCCACGAGAAATGAAAGTTGAAAAAACATTTCATAAAAAAAGGAAGTCCTTCATATTTATAAATTATCATTTTCCAACTCTGGCGAGCCACACGTGAATGTTTTTTCAACAGACAAGCATGTTAACCTAAATCATCTCATTGCTGATATAGCTCGGCTTTCGAACCATACGTGAGACTTTCGCTTCATATGGCTCTTCTTAGAATCTATATTGATATTTGCTCTTGCTTATGGTATGGATTTAATTCAAATGTTTCTGTAACCTAAGACTCCAGTAAATTAGGTCACCATCGAATGGACTCTTGGTGGAACGGAGGCAATTGTGTTAATCCGCTTGGAAATGAAAATTGATAGGTCAAGTACCTACACTTTGATAAATCAAGCCTAAGCCTGGAGGCACGAAGTGTTGATTAGATACGAAGCGAAACGCTTGAGCTTCCAGTCGCCTGGAAGTTCAGACTGTATCATCATCCCATCTTATATATATGGGATGTCTGGCGTAAAGTCGTTGAGGCTTTACGGTCTTAGACTTCCTTCCCTGCTGATTGTCCGCACCGACGCATTCATTATTGGATACTCGGCGGAGGTTTCATAGAGGGAATAAGAGAAAGTCCTATCCGTCGCGAGAGCGGCGGCGTGCTCTACCAGGGTCTTCCCTTTTGCCGGTGAGCCAAAATAATGTTCTATTTTAATTCTTCCTGGATTTGGTATTATCAGTCATGTGGTCTCTACTTTTTCCAGAAAGCCTGTGTTTGGCTATTTGGGCATGGTTTAACGTTCGTCCAATTCTAGAATTTCCAGTTTTATTTGATAAGTTCCCATCTAAATATGAGCTTTCCCTTATTTGTTCAAAATGAAAAGAAAGTCTGGACGAGTTTATGAAATATTTTAATTAAATTTTCATTCTACTAGAACAAATATCTTGTAATTTAAATTGGATTAACCTATTTATGATTGAAAATCCTTACTTAGAATGACAGTTCAATTAAAATATTTCATGAACTCATCCAGACTTTCATTCCATCTCTAGCATGCAGTCAAAATAAGAAGGGATACCTTATTTTTGGAATGAAAGTTTGCAAGTAAGATGAAAAATTTTAAAATTGGCATGACATTTTTTAAGATGGAATGAAAATTTGAAATTTAGATTGTAATTTTACTATCGAATGATTATTTAATTATAGGAAAGTTTTCCGTTGATCGCTTGCCATGCTGGATGCTCGAGCCTCTGGTCGAAGATCCGCCGGTCCAATCGGGTAACATCGCGCACAACCTCTCTCGCCAACTCCTCTGCATCCAAAGGATGACGGACCTCCTGCGGAGCAAAGTGGCTAGGAAGACGTAGGGGCACAACAACCGGTTCGGACCCCAAATCCGTGATAACGGGCGGTGGCACACCACGCACTGCCATCCGAACCGCCTGCGATTGTCGGACCTGAGCCAAGTGCAGGCCCGAAAACAGAACGACTGCACCCGACGCTGTCTCCTGGACCACACGCCGTACGCCTATAGCCCCTCGTCTCGCCGCTGTCCCGCCTGCACAGCCTCATCCACCGCCTGTGGACGTCCCTCCACAGCAACGTCCGCTGCCTCTGCTCCACCCGGCAATGCCTCATCAACCGCCTCTGCTGCCACTCCTTCCGCAACGTCCTCCCTCGCCATCACCCCACCCTGCACACAATACCCCCTCTGTCTCTCGAAGCCTGGCCTCCTCCAAGGCCCGTGCGAACACTTGAGCACGCGGGTCACTCGATGCCAAAAGTCGAGCCCTCTCTCGCTCCATGATGTCGCGTGCTGCATCTGGAGACTCAGTCGTCGTCCTCTCCCTCGGAGTCTGCGTGAAAGTTTGTCCTGCCGCCTCGTCCCTTGATAGAGACCGATCCGTTGATGTCGCCCCGCCGCAAGTAGGTGGAAGGCCCATCGACAAATCAAAGTCTAAGGGGCCCCCCATCTCCGAATCCGAAATCCCAAGCCCCCTCGCCACACCCGGGGTCATACCCGCTATGACCGGATCGAGCTCCTCTGTGAGGAACTGTTGCATGAGGCGCTCGTCATCGCCCCCACGCTGCACCTTCGCTTGTGCGGCTATCTCCTCCTCCACTTGTCCTGCCACCCCCCCCTCCATTGCAGCTGCCGACGGTGCCTCCTCCGCCTCCACTGCTACTGCCTCCTCCACCTCCACTGTTGCCGCTCCTCCAACTGCTCCTCCTGCTGCTGCCACCTGCCCATCCACTGTTGCTGCTCCTCTTGCCGCCGGTGCTTCCTCCTCCAACATTGATGCTGCCAACTCTTCCAGCACTGCTGCTGATGATGATGATGCTATCTCGTCCACCGCGGTTGCGATCGTTGCGTCCCCCCCTCCACTGCTGCTGTCGACGGTGCCACCTCCTCCTGCAATATCCCCGGGGAAGGTCATCGTAACCTCAGCTGCCGGACTGCCCCGCCTCTGTGGAGAAGTCCGCGCTGAGGCAAAGAGGACCCCAACTCCTCCGTGTCCGCCGTTGCCGTGGCCGGTTGAAGTGGCGAGACGGGCGATGGTGGTGCAGGACTCGGAGCAGGAGGTGGCGGCATGGATGACTCCCGCCTCGTCGGAGTGGGGGTCGTCACCCACACCTACTACACAAGGTCGTTGTGCGAGTCGCGTTTTGCTAGAACTGGTTACGACATACTCACGTCTTGAATGAACGTAGCGGCTTGATGCTAAAAGAGGGGGTTATTGCTGCAACTTGGGGGGTCGTCTGGTGGGTTGGGCTCGACAGTTTACTTTGGTCTGACCGGGCGGGCGTTGCTTGGCTGCCATTGCGGGGCCCTCAGGCGAACCAAGGAATCAAGGCCCTCTCCTGCGAGTCTKAGAGCACCCTCCTTGGATCTGAGAGTCTCAAACCATTCTCTATCTGCCCTTCTAACTCTAAGTCTAGACTGTTGGTTACGAGAGGAAGGCGGCAGGCGGGATTGCCACCCGTAATCCGCGCTAAGGCCTCTGTGGGAGGTTCACCCCACCGATTGCGGGAGCTCTGCCGGTACCCAGGAGGACTCCTGGAGGCAGGGAACTGCGTGGTAATTCCCTGACTCCTTCTATACACCCAAGTATAACCCTTATCTATACTTCTTCTTATGTTTGACTGATTGCATTGGACTACTGTTGATCTGTTGTTCAACTCTTCTATAACTTATGTTGAACTCTTGTTGAACTCCTGTTGAATTGTTGTTGAAAAACTGTTGAACTCTTGATGATCAACATTGGTGTGTA